ATAGATTTATTTGCAGTAAAATTTATTTGATATTTCAGAATTTTAGTCACTAGATAATAACTATGTTATTGTTGTAATATACAAATATATCATAAAATATGACTTTTTGAATGCTTCTAAAATTATAAAATTATTAAAATATAACATAATTACGATAATTAATGTGTGAAAGGTACAGGAAAGTATTAAAGGATAATCCAATTACCTAATAATCAATAAGAATAATATGTGAAAAATAAATAAAAATTAAAAGGTAACTTTATTCCTTGTAGGAACACTTAAGAATATTACAAAAATAAATTCCTATTAAATCATTAAAATTGGATTCTTATGAATATTCCTATACATTATCTGCGACGCAAATCCCGCTCTAAACCGTGACAGGACTCGTTTCAGTTGAACAAATAAATCAAAATTGTAGACTGTGTTATAAATAAAATTTGACTTCACGAGGTGTTGATCTCTCGTAAAAGAAGTCTTTTATATCTCAGAGACGATTCATAACGCAAAATACATTTCAAGGATTTCTTGCTTGTAGCACCCAGTGGTTAATTAAGCTTATATTTATGCTGGAACGAAATTAAAATACTGTTACATGGAAAATTAATATGCAAAATTAGGTGATTAAGACATGAATTCTTTTTGACAGACTTTTTAAAATTTACCTTTCAGTCCTTTCATTTATTGTATATATGTAGATGAGATTATATAAATTCCTGTAAAATTTTCTACATTATGAAAGTTAATTTAAATATTTTATTATATATATAAATGATTAATTTTTTAAAAGTAATTTTTTAAATAATTTTTCTCTATTTTGATTTATGTTTACGAGATAATTTCAGAATACTTAGCCTAGTAATATGAAAATTCCCAGATACCTGTCATATTAACTTTGCACGTCGCAAAATCAATAATTTTGACGATGATCAAGTTATGTTTGTATGATATCACACGTCACGAAATGTTTTGTACATCTGCAATAAAGTTATATTGCCTTTAATTAAATTTAATCAATTACTTATGTCACAAATAAAATTTGTAAACAGTTTAGTTCAAATATAAAATTGAGAATAATAATGTATCCCAAATCGAACAAAAATAAAGTTTCTAAATGACATTTTTGCTGTAGAATTATGCACAACAATAAGATTAAACCTATTTCAAAATTGATTCTTATTCAATTTACTTCTGCTTCAAAAACAATATAAACTTTAGCTGAAAAATTACTAGTAGACAATTTGCATATGATAATCCTCCTTTAAAAGAATGACAACTTCTCACCTTTCCAAATCGCGTCAAATAATTCGTCCAACTTATTTAAAAAAATCACGTAAATTCCACTAGAATTCTTTTGTCCACTGACCAATTTATCATCAGTTGGAAATACGAAAGTTATTGGTCGATAATCGGGAATTAAACGAAAAATAAATTAGGAGCATCCAGAGACACGTGAATCCTTCCTTCTTTCTCTATCTTTCTCTCTCCTTGTTCGAAAATTAAGGCGCAGTCGTGGCTCGCCAAATTTATTTCCTTTCCCCGGTGCCTCGTATCGGGGAAAAAAATTCCAGACGCCGGATTCGAAGGCGTGGAATGCCAATAGCCGCGAGAGACTCTTCTCTCTTTCTCTTGAGAGAAGACGAACGGGCGCACGCGTATGCTTGGCCGCTCTGACGCACGAAGAACCGCTCGTGAACAGAAACCAGACACGCGTGTAACGTTAAACCGGGCCGTCGATGAAAAACGAATAAGAGTTTCGCGACCGATGGGCTTTTTCAATGACAGATCGAATCGCTGGGAGTCACGGATCACTTGAAGCTACGTTACACCAGTATTTTGGGTTAGGAACACTAGAGGCGGTTTTTAACGAATCAGCCATCGATTCGACCGCCAATTTGACACGTCATCTTACGTTCGATTATTGAACTTTTCGCACAAGAGTAGGAACAATTTTAAAAATGCTTTTATAATAATCAATACTGGAATCAAGAGTAGTTTTATCAATATTGTTGCTTTAAATATATCCGTATGTATATGATACTCGTGATAAATTATTTTGAGATATATATGTTGTTTGGTTATCAAATAATCATTGAGGAGAAAATATTCGTGGTTTCTTTTCTTTCCATTGTCATATGTTTTCATATATTTTGCATTGTCTAATCAAAAGTATATATCCTCCATAAAAAAATTAATAAACAAATAAATTTTCGCTGTTTAAATGCATAACTGTGTAATTTGTTTGTACTGCGACATAATTGTTAAAATTCAACCTACAAGACCGCTAAAACATTTGAAACCATCTCAACAATCCTATTCTTCCGGTTTACCCAATTTTTCCATTCTTTTACGCTCCTGCTTTTTCCTCTAACCTAACCTCTTCGACTCATCTCGCTTCTCAACCATCATTGAATAATACACACCTTCGCCCTCCAACATTCAAGCAACAATCTATCCAAGCAATCTTCCACCGTCCATTTTTGCAATAGGTACAAATCAGATAATTGGAACTGATTTAAACGTAAGATCGCGAAGAATGCAGCGTGATTTGTACAGAAACGTGCCACCTAGTGCCAGGGGAGGGAAATTTTGCGAGGCAGCAGTCACTCTACTCAAAGTGGCTCTATTCGACAAGTCTGCTGTTCAGCGTATTCGCGTCAGAGATCCCTTATCACGGACCATTTAAGTAATGAGCCGGCACTTAGCAGCACCGCTTGTCTTTCATTCTTCTTGCGTCTCTGCGATCGCCGTCGTCGCATCGTCTTCGTCGTCACCGTCGGTGTCGCCATTGAATCCCTGTCGTATCTTGGTTTTTTTCGCCCTCTAGTCTCAGACTTGGTAGCGTTGTGAGAGAGCGACGAGCACCGGGGCTTCGAGTGACAATGAGCCAGCGAAGAGGAACGGCTGTCTACTACTGGGACCCACCATTAAAGCTCGTGCTTCTTTCGGAGCACGTCTGCACACCCCAAGGCTCCTTTCCTCCACTAACAATGCCACTTCGCAGACTTCGCAGTTATCTTCAGCTGAACGATCTTCGACTAAGGCTAGATACTGGTGTGCACAAAGAGATGCTGACCGAGAGCCCTCTTGATTTTAGTCTTTCCTTGGTAGTTGACTCTGATGGTACAGATTATTGACTGAGCAAATAACTTTAGAACAGCGAGGAAATTGTTGACATACTTGATTATTTGAGAATATATTATCAAATTTCAGGTATTTCGCCTATTAAATTCCGAAATTGAAGCTGAAATTATTAATACTTTTGATAAATCTAAGGTAAGATTGTTTATTTCTAAATACTCTATTTATAAATAATCTTAATCATTGGGTTAGGTTAGATTAGATTAGGGCTAGGTTAATTTTTCAATTTTACGTTACAAAATATTTATGCATTCTTCTTTATGCAAAAACACGTTTCAGTTCACGGGTACAGCAAAATTTTGAATTATCCGAGAGCGAACCAAGAAAGAAGCCGACGTACAAAAAGGAAAGAAAGAAGAAAGGTAGGAAAGGCATACAGTAGCACTGCAATTTTAATAGTTCTCCAGCGTTGCTTCTGGGCACAATGCGATGGTATATACTGCGGCAGCATTTTGTAGGCAACTGTAAACGTTATACGATGATAACGTCGCTTTAAAAATAAAGGCGTCACGGTTCGGTCGATAGTCCGCGAGTTATCGGTATCCTTGGTTAGGCTCATTACTCGAAAAAGAAGGAAAAGAGGATAGCCGACCACATAAAAAGGTACAGTTTCGTCATTCCCTAACGGATATTCTTATACTGGCAGATGCGGTTAATCGAAGCAATGATTCCAACGTAAATTGTCCCCTTCTCTTTGTATTCTCGGTTAACCAATACCTCGGCGAATCGCTGGAAATTTACAATTGGGACCCGGTGACCTGGAAATTCTCAGCCCCAAATGCTTGTTTGGCGAACGAATCTACTTTGATCGGTGTTTATGTTATCAATGTTTATAATTAGATATTGATATGTTAATGTTTCCATAGAGAACATGGTCGTTAGGTGCAACATAACATAAAAGACTAAATAAGCAAATATGGTTATAAAGTAAAATTTGTATACTGAAGAAAGTATATTAAGAAGTATAGAAAATTTGGACAAAATGAAATATTGCTTTTTACATATCGTTAGTAGGCAGTATTGTGTATTTGTAAAACTAGTTGTTGAGGTTAAGTTGGTGATGTAAAGTCTTGGGAATTTTTTAAAGTAGTTTTAAGTAGTACTTTTTTAATTATTTAATTTATCATTGTACTATGTTATCATTATTATACAATTATTACGATTTTTTCCTCAAAAGCGTTACGATCGCTAGATAGGCAGCGAAAATGAAAATGTACCGGAGCAATGCAAACTGTATCCCACGATATGAAAAAGAGATAAAGCAGGCCTGTCTATTACATTGGTGATAACGAGGGAACCGAAAGAAAAATCGTTTCAACACTACTCGAATATTCGTGATAACTGAAATCCACTTCAGAAGAAGATACATATATGTATATATGTCACAATTCTTATATATTTAATAGCAATCTTTCTGTATAATTCATATTTTATGTAACGTATTATCTATTTCTTTTTCCAACAAAATTTTCTACTGAAAATTAAAAAGCTTACTTTTCTTCTATAAAGTCTACGAAATTAATAAAAATATAACGTGTCATCATTTTTGTTACAATAAAAATATATTGGGTATTCCAAAATTCACGAAGAAGAAGAAAACACAGGTTTTTAATTCAAAATTATAAATATTGCTCAACAATGAGCAATAGCTTCCATTTTTTATAACCCTGAACTGTCAGCTGTCATGCTGTCTTTCTTTTTTGTTGACAACACTTTATAGCACAAATGGCGCAAAATTCAAATCTTGCGTGAATTTTGGGACACCATATATATACATCAAAATATATTGTTAAAAAGTATTTCTAACTGTACCAATCTTTAATCTGAATACATATCCAAGCAAAGAATTCTCTCCCCGTTCACAAAACTCATTCTATGCTAATTTGATTATCTGAAATCGTAGTGCACGACTTCTTTGAAGATCGACAGTTAATTTTGCTCGTGCCCAACCTTCATTACTCTCTTCTTCTGTGTTACTTGTTTTTAAAACAAATGTTACGAGTCCTCCTTGTAGTTGCATACATTACAATGCCCATTTCATGAACGTTTTGAACAGCTTCAACAAATCTTTTTCCAATGATCTGCCAACCAGACAAGCAACGCAAATAAATACCTCAAATAAATTAACTTAAAATATTTGCACAGTGTTATAGTATTTTTAGTATTTTCTGAAATTTTTTTAAAGTATAAGATATACTATCGTCCAAATTTTGTAATTTTCAATATTTTTAAAATTTTCTTAAATCACGGAACAACGTTCTTCCTGAAATAACAAGCACTTTTAAAAACTCATAATGTAATTTAATATTCGATATTAAAAAGAACAGTACAGATATGATTTTTATGCCATGAAATCGAAATGATGATCATGTTTAAAAATGTTGTACATAACCTCCTATAAGTAGAAATCATTATTCTACCTCTCTCATTGATACATTCCTCGTGTCCATTATTTTCGTCACTTGGTCCTTTCAATTTCTGCTGACTATGTACAGAATGTTCCATTATTAGTGGTATAATCAAAGTAAAAATGAAGCTACCTCTGCGCATGTCCAAGCAGATAGGAGCGTAAGATCATCTGGGCAGGCCCCACTACTCTACAGTTTTATATACAATTTGTGGTAAGCATGTTATCCTCCCATTCATTTCATTCACTGCAACCATAAAAGTTTCATTTTACGATTCATTTGCAAACTTTTTATTTTAGCTTTTCAATTTACGTATTTTTTTTTTTTGTATAAAAGCGCATACACTTTTCCATCACAGAGGCAATCATGGACTATATGTATGTATGGATAAAAGCAGACGAGATTCGAACAAAACCTGGTTATGCGATAATATTCACCAGAGAACTTCATTACACGGTACTATTTGCAACAAAACCTAGTCACATGGTAACATTCACGAGAAAGACATGGTCACACGGCAACACTTGCAAGAAACTTCTATGTACCAATCAAACAGCATCTCAAACACTTTAAGAAACAAAGATCTTTCCATCTGCCAAAGAGTATATCACTTTCCCACGCGAATCAACCTGCCACGCGATAAAGGACCGGCAGTGGGAAAAAAGAATAAACAAAAAGAGCAGAATTAAACAACCGGAGAGAAAACTCAAAACACCGTGTCCGTCGAGAGTAATCACAGTGATTCGGCCGACGATTTCGGCCAATCTGCATAACTTAACGCGCCTTTCCATTCACTGGTAATTAGAGTCGGCGATGCTTACTTTGTCTCGGTCGGTAACGAAAAAAACCGATTGACCACCGATAAGGGAACCTCGGAACAGAACCCCAGATCGCATCTCGGTAGCATGTATCGTCTTTAACGAGCTTTATTTTCTCTTTCGAGTTGCGTGTCTCGAAAGACGAGCATATCTATATTCCCTTTGTGCCTTCAACTGTGTGTATTCGATCATTTTTGCAAGTATATGTACCGAGTTTGCTGGGAAAATTATTAAGCAAAGGTGGGTAGACTGGCAAAAAGAGAAAAATGCATAATACACACACGCAGACGCATGCGTAACAGACATAACCTCTCTGAAACACCCTGTACTGTTATCAAATTGCAGGGTTATGGCTTTACATTATATTTATTCAATAAAAATTCACGCAGATAATCGAAAGTTTCTAATTCTTCTACTTATTTGATTTTTCATGTAATGTTATTTAAATAATCGTAATAAGTGAAATAGGAGGATAAAAGTTATAGAAGAATTTACAAGTTATCCTGGTAAATACAGAGACGTGACATTTAGAAGATTGGTGCAACTGAATGAAAAGTTAAGGAAGTAACATTGAAAATTGTTCATCAGTCTCTTAACAGTTAAAAGAGGATTACATTTTAGTATTACTTAAACACTTAATATACCAATATTCATAGAAAATTCAAGCCAAAAATTTCTAATATATCCTATTTTAAATATGTTTCATACTTCAATGTGACGGCGTAATATCTCCAATAATAAAAAATGAAAAACATGAAAGTCAATTAATTATGGAAATATCATTAGTCGCTTATAAGGTTTTATAGAAAATTTTCTCTACATTTATGTATAATATTCGAGGAAAAAGCGAAGGCATAATTTCAATCTACAAGGTTCACGTCAGGAAATGTACGTATTACACATTGTATTATGACTACAGATGCGTGTGTGATCTGTAAAAACGGGACATGCGGTCGATGAACGTGTACACGTCGACTACAGGACATGAATTTTTGCGTTTCGTCCTTCAGGCCGCGTGAGAAGAAACACTAGACAGGCCTCTGATATATCGCACGGGATACAGGACACCGCATTTGTTCCAGACGCACATGGATAGGCCACGCATGAACGAATGGGAACTCATATTCCGGCACAAGGATAATCTTGATTGAGAATGTCGCTAGGGACGCGAGATTATAGAAATTAATGGTAATCGTCGTTCGACCGCAAATCCTACGTATTCTTCCTCTATTTTTTCTCGAGCTACTGGTAAATGTCTGGATTGTGGCACACGATTCCTTCTGGCGAATAAGGTTATGTTTTTTGCTCGCTTTCGCGAAGCTAATGCTAAAATTGCAAAAAAGCGATTTAGTACTCTGATTTAACTTATATTGTACGGTGTACTAAACCATAGCATTTGTATTTTAACGTATTTACTTTGTGTCAGCTTATTCGGTTGTGATGATTTAACGCAATTGAACGTCGATGACGCAACAGTGTGTCGTAATATCCTTTGATCAAAGACCGATGACAGTCAGGTACATTATGCGTTTAGCACAACAAATGATGCATTGGTACATCTGTTAACGATTAAATAAAACATTCAGGTGAGCACGAAAGAGATAATATGATAGACGTGTCGATTCTTGTACGTATTTATGACAGGAATTTTCGCGGGAGTTGTTCACACCGGCTGCGCATCATTCTGCGCAGCAGTGGCAAGCGTGTGGTCCATCAGAATGAAAGGGAGTGGGGGAAGAAGCCTCGTCCCCGCTGCTTACATTACTGTAACGAAGACTGAATGGAGAAATCTCTCTAAATCACAGAGGTAATTTGAAAGCATTGTACTGATTTTTTCACCATACTGTCTTAACAATCTTACTCCATATATGCCTTTTAAATATTTTGAGCATTTGACAATATGATTTAATATCGTATTAGTTTTCATAAATTACAATGAAATAAATATCAACACTGGCGACTTTATATTAATACACCAAATGAAAGAACAGCCATGTATTAAAACACAGACATTTTTCATTAACAGATAAGAGTACCTACATTGAATTTTTCAATTTGAAGCAATGCAACGATACAAGTACGTGACGCGTGTACCTCGCAAGAATAAACAATATCGCTACTCACCAGTGTCCTTGATATGAAGTCTTGACGAGCTTCACGGTGAAGAGGAACTGTATAGCGCAAACGAGAAGACAACAGAGATTGAGAGAGAGGGCAAGGGCGCACAGCGCCAACGTCACTTCGTACACGATCCTGTATTCCTCTGGGCTGATCAGGCTACTCGGCGTCACCGTTAATGGTGAAATCTTCAGCAAGAAGATCAACGAGAGTAGCGCCAACAACAACGACACTAGACACAACAAACCCAAACTGGTTAACGTCTCTTTCGCTCCGGCCTCATGGTCCTTGTGATTCCTCGACAGGGACGAAGACCAGGAAGCATTCAACGGAAATGCCGTGGAACCGGCTCCCGTTAACTGTCCCCCAGTAGTCGTACCCTGGAAACCAGGTGCAGGTGAGGGAGTTGTCTGACTGGGTAACCTGGACAGTCTCGAAATATCGAAGCCTCCATTCGCTTTGGGTCTACTGTCTTGATGCAACGGCGCCTGGGACACCACCGTATGCCCCAAAGTCGTCGACACGTTATTATTATTGTTATTATTGTTCCCACCACCGACAGGACTGACGCTGTTCACCGAATGCTTCGACGTGGATAACGTGGACAAGTTAAGAGCGTGCGAGTGATTCAATCTCTGGGAAAGATTATTCACACTCAACTGAGAATGATTTAGAGGGTGTCTATGAGTCGATGATGGCGTCGTAGCGGCCTGATACGCGTTGGCCCTCTGGTGGACCACCGAGTCATAAACGTCAACTCCCCGTCCTTGGCTCCCTGTTCCACGAACGTTGCTGCTTTGGTTGTAATGGTGGTGTTGTTGATCCTGCTGATGATTGGAATGATGGTGATGATGGTGGCCGCCGTGCAACGAGCCCGAATTCGCCTGGTAGTCATTGTGCTGGTGCCTGGAGCCCGCTGACGACGGTTGCCCCGTCAGGATATGCTTGAGCATTACTCCACGCTGGATTGCTGGTAGGAAGATTGCGCCTCTTCCGGCTCCTCTACATGATGCTACACGGACTCGTTTCCGGGGACGCTTCCGACGTTCGGGTCTTCTTTTTTGAAGAATTTTTCTTCTTAAATTAGCGATCGTTAAATACCCTTGGATCTCCTTCGCGAATTTCTTGTTTGTTTCTTGAATTTCCTTTTTCGCGAATCTTTCGACACAGGATTAGGTTCCTGGGCTTAGGGAGTTGCTACACGCCAGCTCCACCATGGCGACATTTACTAAGGAGCCTACATAGCCACCTCTCTGCTTACCCCTTGGGTCAGTTCTTTAGCTGAAACTCTTCGTGTTGAGGCACGAGAATAGGGACCATCGTCTGCGAAGGCATGATTATTTTATTTTCTACTTCGACGAGTACTATTTTACTCGATTCCTCTTACTAAGTCGTAAGTAGAAAAACGTTATATTTAAATAGGTACTTGGTTCCAATATTTGCCTTATTATGGTCCTCCGATTAAGTTCTTAGGGTGTATTCAATTAGATATTTATAAACATTCTTTCCGCCTATTTCTTCGACATCCTGCCTACATCGTTAATGCGTTCACCACTTCAACTTCCATCAACAACCCGCAAAAACCGAGACCCGCGTTCTTCAGGAGGAACGCATCGGAAGCAGCATCGGTACATGAATAATTACACTGAGTATACAGGTTCTTCCTTGGACTGTCCAATGGGACTCGTCTCCACCTTCCAGAGTTCGTTTACGCCTTTAAAGAGCAAGGATACCGAGAAAAGTATCATTAGGAGGCAATTCAATCCGGCTTATCCAGGTATTCCTTTTCCTAGCCATTCGTTTCCTCTTTCAAAAATGACCGGTTGGTTGTTTATTTCTTTCTTTTCCCTTCTCTTTTTTCTTTCTTTTTTTCTGATGTTCGCGAATTTTTTTAATCCACACGATTTCGAATTTTTAGCATTCGATTTTCTGCTCCACGTCGTTAAGAAAGAGGAATGAGAGCACAGGAAGCGTGGTCGGCATGAGCATGATTAGATCCGGTCTGCCCAATGACCTTGCCAGGGAGAATAGCGGTTCGTTAAGGTGGTTGCAGCCTTGGTTTGCTTCTGTGTCGATTTCCAGCGAACTCGTCAGCCGGCATGGCTTCCGAGATGCTCCCCCTGGAACAGGTAGATGGGAAATAATTAATGGACTGTTCGGCTATACGTGGATGAGAGATTGACCGTAAAAAGAAATAGACAGATACGGGTTAGAAAATATAATCCGAACCCTTTTCGGTATCGTCTGGAAATCTTACTTTTGTGGATCGAGCAGAGGACTCGTGTGAAATTCTGATCGGGATTATGGTAAATTAGATTCCATCAATTTCTAGTTACAGCGACTTTTATCGCACATGGCGAGATCGTAAATTTAATTTGGCGTGAAGCGTTTAGTCTGGACGAATCAATTGATAGAAATCTGGTAAGATGAGCACCTAAAGTTTCGCTCAAACTTCTCGAAATAAATGTTTGCTGTGTTAAACAGGTATGCTATCTAATTGGAAGTTAATATTCAGCTTCCCAGAAGCAACTGTATGTCTTCAGTATCTGCGGAAAAATCTGGATGCAGTTAGTTCGATTAGTTTGGAAGATCTAGGATGAAAATGTGTTATGCAAGGAGCAACTAAAAATAGAGGAAGAATTAAATTATGCATGTAACACGTATGTTCTTATATTATTTATAACAGTTTTAAATATTCTGAATCATAAAAGGAAGGAACTTTCTCGTGATTGGTTATTTCAGTGAACACTTGACGGGTTAATTATACCCAAAAGATTCAACCAAGCTTCTTCTTTAAAGCTATTTATATAGTATGGCACGTGGCCATGGACAAGGCTGTTTTCAAAAAAAATTTTGGCGAATGGTTTATTTCCTCTTTCACTTTTTCGTGTTCCTTAACATATTCCACTGTCCTCGCACGTATACTTATAGGCTTTTTGCTAGTATTAATTTTAGCCAGCCGGAATTGAAATAACTGCATTTTTAGAATTCCTCAAAATCAAGGCATCTAATCAATGACTAACTTTTTCTACTCAAAATAAATTTCTATCCCTGTTTCATGGAGTCAATCAGTTTTGCAAATGAATGGTTTACACGATACAAGGAGTGTCCCGAAATCTACGTAAAAAGTAATTTTCATAGAAAACACAGGCTTTTAATTAAAAATTGCAAATTTTGTATTGATTGATTTTCGCAAAATGTGGGAGATTTTTAATATATCATATATTCTCTTTAATTATTTAGTCCTAGTCTAGAGTCAACGTGTAATACATTAACTGCTTAATAATTTCAGGTTTTTTATGGGAAACGTGTAGACGAAGAACACATGAACATCATAAAAGACAAAACACCGTTAAAATTACATTTCGATCCGTGCATCACGTGCTATTCGAGCAAAACAGGAGAATCAATGAGCGGCTATAAAACGAGGCAAGACCTCGCGATAAAGAAAAAGTTGCTTATCCGAATTATAGCACTGCGGGAATACAAAAGACTCGTTCACCAGGCTACTTCCTCAAGCAGCCGAGCGGTATATTTTCCGGTCGTTAACTTCCACGTAATGGGATATTAAAGAGCACGGACACAACGCGGTAATTTTTCAGCTGTTCGTTATCAAATTACAGCATTTGCTACAAACGACAAAACTGTAACAGTTCGTGTCTGTGCTTCGCATTAACCGTGGCGGACGCTGCCTTGTCTACGTTTTTCACTTCCTCGTCATGGAAACCGGGAAAAGGTGACTTACAATACAGTGTTTAATTGTACTTCCTGCAGCTCTTCCTTAAAGCATTACTTATCGTGCTTCTTAGAACGTGCCAATGTTAACGATACTCGAAACTAGGTCATTTTTATTATTTTTATCGTACATTTTTAATCGCATAGCGTTATTTTATTGGATTGTATATAGAATTTCAATCCATGGTATAATTATAGCTAACGCGATATTGTTAATTTTAAAAATATTTTAAGAATAAAATTAAGCAGGAAAAGGAAATCCTAGTTATAAATATTTTCTTTAGGAAATGTTTATTCGTCATTAATATTCAATTTTTATTATAAAGTTAAGTTATAAAAATTATGAAAATTATAGAAATTAGGATTGTAAAAATTATATTATGTAACGAAGATTGTACAACAGAATAATAAAACCGTGTAAAGACTATGAGGATTATGGTGTACAATAAAATCTATAAACTCGAGAATAGTTTTGAAACTTTAGCATGTTCTAGGAAGAAGGTATATAACGTAGCCCATTGAAATTGTATCACTTCTTTTTTCAAGCTATAATTAGAAAATACATTAAAAATAATAATAATGATAATAATTCTATAAAATTACAGCATCGATTGTCAGCAATTAGCAAACTCTGGTGAAATCAAATATTCGTCAATGTGATCTTATTTCTGCGTGAAACTAATTAACAAATTTATCGCGTGCACGTGTACTTGGTTTCGAGATAAACGTGATAAATTTTCGAAAAAGATTAGATTTTCAACACCTAACTTAATTCCAATGACTCATAAACCTCCCATACTGTCCAACACCTGAAGTCCATCCTTTACAATGTCACGATCTCCAATTTATTAAAATTACATCTTGCCTGTTGCACCGACTTTCTTTAAAGGTTCCCGCGGCAGGTTGAACACGCATCAAGTATCCCCCCACCCCGACCGCCCTTTCTCTTTCTGCCGGCCGAGAGAGCGGGAACGCGCAAAACGCGCGGATCACGCGAGCGCTTCACGATCTGCGAAACATCACGTGAAAATCACCGATCCGATCTCCGTGTACGCGGTGCACCGTGGGGGTAACGATTAAATCGACAGGATATACTTTATTGGCTATTCCGTTATTACAGGCCATAGCTGCGGGGAAATAGTCATTATGGATCGATGAACTCCATTGTAACAACGCGCCTTCGGATTGCATCGGAAACGCTTCTGTTTTGCGTTCACAATCTAACCTATCATCGTCTGTTTAGGATACAACAGTGGCGCGAGAAATGCATATGTTATTATGATTTCGAGGATAATAGATTGTAACAGATGTGAAGTGACATCACAAAGGGAAGGATACGGTTTGTTTACGTTCGAGTTATGTGGAGTTTTTTTAGGTTAGAATATATACAGGTAAGAGTAATGTTTTGGCTAATGAGTTACGAGATTTTTTCAGATTAGGTCTGAATTAAATTTATAGAAGTTTTCTGTATATGTAAGATAGTCAAAAATGACGTGGTTTATAGAAATTGTGAAGAAATATGACGATGGAAATTATTTAATGATTGATATGCTTTTTTTTCTATACCCTATAGGTCATCATGGAGAGCATATTGATTTATAAATAAAACTCTAAGCGTTTTCTAAAAACTGTGAAGATATGGTAAAAATTAAGATTAATGATTATAAGAAGAATTTGCGAGGAATTAAAGCAAGAATACATTAAAGGTGATTAATTTAATTTCATTAATTAATGAAATTTTTAATTTTATAACGATAAGATCAGAAGTATGTAGAAAAATACAATTAAAGCAATATAAATGTACTTAGCAATTACTAAGTGTTTAAAAATGAAAACTCCACGATTATTATACAAGTGTAATATTGAAATTAATATCATTTCTTAAATCTCTTATGTTCCTATTATTTTTGAAATTCATATAGAACTGTTTAAATAATTTATAAAAGCACGAAGATGAAATTAATTAATTAACAACTGCCTCACAATCCCATCTTTCAATTTGTATTTCCTTTTCCTAAAGCAAGGAGTGTTCATTTTCAAAAACGACAAGAAGTAAATTCCTGAAGTTCCATAATTCTTTATCTTTTCTAAATCATTCTTCGATTTTCCAGTTACACTCCAATTATTCCATCCTAAAAGGCAAGCAATCCGCTCAAGGGCTAGACATAGTTCCCCGAGTGGTTCTCTTTAATACCGTTACAACTCGGCTGAAGGCTCGCAACGCTCGA